TTAGGATGGAATGGTAATTCTGCTTACAGAGGCATTCTAGTCATGTGTGTATTTGCCTCCTGGCATTGCCACCGATTCTGATAAAGGGACATTTGTTGGTAACTAGCATCGCTTATCCATTTAATCTGAACAAACAGAGAGGCTACATATTTTGCCATGAGATTAATAATAATAATAATAATGATTGTATTGTTATTATTATTACTCATTATATAATAATAATATATAACTCATTTAATAATATAATCTGTCTTTTTATAGTGTAATAAGGAGAGCGACAAAGACAAATCCTCAGCAGACTAATGTGATTACACTATTTTGACAGTTCACTGTGCACTCATTATATTGCCTTTGGATGTGTAAAACACAAGCAGTAATATCTTAGTGAGTATTGCAGAAAGAACCCTAAAAGAGAGCAGGATATCACAACAATGGGACCACAAGTGTGTCGATACCCCTTCTCCCCCCACCGCCCTCAAAGTTCAATTATTGAACAGGTCAAAACTGAAATGAGTACTGTGCCCTTTCATCACAAAAGTGCTTCACACTTTGCTAAAGCCTTGCTTCAGTGCTGGAATAAGCTCAAGATTACACAAGGAGATCATTCTTTGGGGCAGACTGCACTGCTTCTTTCTTTCCACCCTTTCTTCCTTTTTTTTCTTCCCAGAGCTTGCAGCTGCTGTTTGCTTGAAAAGATGCTCTTGGCTTCTTGACTTCGGTTCTGCTCTTCTTTCCACTTTGGTCAGTGAACTAGCTGGGATTCTTCTAGTACCCTCATATATTGCATTTATTTTCACTGTAAAAAAATAAAATAAATAAAAATAAAAAATCCTGACAGTTAAAAGTTTTACAGGAAAGTTACATGTCCTTCAATTACATGTCCTTCAGGAAGCAAGCAAGCAAACAAACAATCAAAACAAAACAACACACACACACACACACACAGGTTTGTTTTTGTGAAAAGTGGGGACATCCCATAGGCGCAATGGTTTTATACTGTACAGACCGTATATTCTATTGCCCTACACCAACCCTACCCCTAAACCTACCCCTCACAGGAAACTTTGTGCTATTTCAGATTTTCAATACACTCCATTCTATGTGATTTATATGCGTTTTGAAAAGTGGGGACATGGGGTAATGTCCTGAAAAGTCACCTTCTCCTTGTAATACCTATGTCATACCCTTGTCATTATACAAATGTATGTCCTCATTTGTCACAAAAACGCACACACACACACACACACGTTTACTTACCTGTCTAAATGGGGACATTACATAGACTTCTATTGTTTTTATATACAGATAGTTATACACTTTTTAACCTAAACCCACCCCTACCCCTAACCCTACCCCTCACAGAAAACTTTCTGCATTTTCACAATTTAAAAAAAAAACTTGGTTTACTTTATTTTTATACCAGTTTTACAAATGAGGAGGTCCCCAAATGGAGGTTTTTGGCGATTTTGTCAGGTTTTGCTCACTTTTGGGTACAAATTTGTCCCCAAAACATGGTTAAGTAGGTACACACACACACACACGCACACACACACACAAACACACACACACACACAAACAAACACTTAAAACAGCTTTTTTTTTTTAAGTTTAAGGTTTATGGTGGGCTAAGCTGATTTAACATGATCTGACCAGCTAAAAAGTTCCCAAAACCTCGCTAAAACCAGCCAATGCCAGACCAGTATATTACATATATTTACAATTGTTTTTCGCTATTTAATGAATTTATCAGAGGAAATTATAAAAATATGCAAACAAAAGTTTTCTATAACTAGCATGAACATGATTAGTTACATATTTAAAACATAAAGTTCTAAAACAGAACAAAAGAAGAAAAAAGAGTGTGTAAGTAGGCTACTTTATGACATTTACATTCATGACATAAGGCCATTTAAATGGATAAAGTAGAAATTATGGCAAACCATGGTAAGTTTTAAAGTTACAGGACTATTACATGTAGCTCTTGCTAATGGTTGCCCACTGCAACAAGACAAATCGTTTTTAATGGCTTGAGGTGGAGAAGCCCAATAACGGGCTCTGATGCTGCGCTGTTCCGCCTCTCTCGCTGCCATCACTAAGCCGAGTCGTGTTATGATGACAACAAGAATATATAGCCGCGGGACGGAAAATATCTGAGTCTTAAACCCTGCCTTTTTTGTTTATTTTCACGCAATAGCTCGATTAGCTTATTGCCAGCGCATTCCCGGTCTTCCTCCTCCTCCAGCTCCCAGTGTGCCGCTTACCGACTGCCGCAGCCTGACAACCGCTACACAGTCTCCGGCAAGATGCTACTACCACACTCCAGTCTGCTTATCGACGTTCTCTGGATTGTCATCTTCAGTCCTGCTGGTGTGAAATGTCTGAACGGCGAAAAAGATCAGTCTCAAGACATGGAGTGCAAAATGAAAAGCGTTACGGTATCCGCTTTGCCGTTTTTGCGAGAGAACGACCTAAGCATCATGCACAGCCCGTCGGCCTCCGAGCCCAAGCTGCTTTTCTCCGTCAGGAACGATTTTCCGGGCGAGATAGTCGTCGTTGACGACTTGGAAAATACTGAGCTCCCGTACTTTGTATTGGGTGAGTGCTGTTATTTATCATCAGTTTATCTTCTTATTAAAGAAAATAGTATAGGCCTACTTGATTGTGACAGCTATTGTGATTATTAATAGAAATATCAATCGCAGGCCTAGTCCAGAAACTCAAATAGGTTAGTTCTAGTATATTTTTTGTCCGGAACAATAGTCGTAAGCTGCAGATATGTGTTATTTAAGCTACAGGAAGCATGATGCTCGTTTGGCAGGGTGGTACAGACAGATGTTTTTATGATGAATACGTGAAATATACAGCTGTGATCCCATAGAGACAAAAGTGGTCACTGGGTTACAGTCTTGTGAGAATCTCATGTGTAAACTTGTGTGAACTTTGTGCCACAGCTTCACCTGTTTTGAACTCTGAGGAAAACAGACCAAGCAAACAACCACAACAAAGTGGTTTGATGTAGTTCCTGAAAGATAGATAGATAGAAAGACAGACACAGACACAGTCAGACAGATAGATACATAAATAAAAATAAAGTTGATAAACTTTGATGTAATATTCCATAATATCTGCTGTAAATAGTAGTTTAGAAATATACAACTTATCGCTGAACTGTGCTACTTCGTGTTACTGTAAGCACAAAGTGTTGATTTAATCAAATATTTTTGATTTGTTTTTGTGCATAAATGTATTCTGGAATTACATGTTCAAATTAATTATTATGTCATCCTCCATGCTTTCATTTTAAACAGTTAAAAAAGATAAACATTTAAGATTAACAGTTTAAAAAAGATAAACATTTAAGTAAGCTTTTAATTTAAAAGAGCAACTAAATAGGAAACAACTATAGAAATACATAATGCTCTCTCTCTCTCTCTCTCTCTCTCTCTCCATGTGGTGTGTGTGTGTGTCTGTGTGCCAAATGGTTTCAAATGTAAATTGTTTGATTTTGTGAAGTTTTGTAGGTCCAGTAGATGTATACCAGAAAGTGGTACAACCAGCCTTGTCTGTTATTTTTAAAGGGGTCATCGGATGCCCATTTTCCACAAGCTGATATGATTCTTTAGGGTCTTAATGAAAATTCTGTAACATAGGTTAAAATTTCTCAATGGTAGCGTAAAACAACACCGTTTTTACCCTGTCAAGAACAGCTCTTTTCAGAGCAAGCTGTTTTCTTGCATGCTGCTTTAAATACAAATGAGCTCTGCTGACCCCGCCCCTCTCTTCCGAGCCGCTCTCTGAGAAACAGTAAACTTTAGCCGCATTCATCGTGAAACTTGCTAACTAGCACGTTATTAGGAAGGGTGATTTGTAAATATTCATTAAAAAACCTTACACTCACTTTTGGACGTGAAGCTGGATCACGAATGATTCGTGTGAACATAAACGCATTTATGTAGATCGGGGGGTGCATTCCCTTCAGAAACAAACGTAATCCACTGCGTCTTCAGCGGCTCAGATGTCGGAAGTAAACGACGACTGCTATGTTCATTATTACATCCAACAACAGAACACCTCAATCGCTTAGGAGACATTCTTGTCTACATCTGCTCCGGCGGTGAAAAATGGCGGACTGATGACAGCTCACTCAGGGCGGGTCTAAGGTCTGTGCTGAAACGCTACTGTCAATCAAACAATTGTGGGAGGGGCCTGTCTGTGTGACGTCACACAGACAGGCATCTGAGATTGGCCCGATTTGAGAAAGGGGAAATGATTTAACGAGATAAAAAAAAAAAACACTGGATGGATCTTTATCATTATAGGGTGATATACAGACACTGTCAACACACATTTCAGTTCAAACTGCTTGTAAAAGTGCATGTGGCATCCGATGACCCCTTTAAATATATGTAATATAATTATATTATGTTGTATATTATATTTATTTTAATATATTTTACTATGTAATTATATATATACAGTATATATATATAATATTTTCACTCTCTGAGCTTATAATGTAGCCTATACATAATATGTATTATTATATATTCACTTTTAATCATCCTCAGACCTCCTAATCTCTTAATTTACCCAGTTCTGTCATGTTTTTAAATAATAAACAACCAAAACTCTAAGTATTTGCTTTTAATTGGTTTAAATGTAATTTAAAAAGCTGAATATTGTGAAAATTTGTCACAAGCAGCTAGTTTGTATGAGGCGGCCCACTGACTGCTGTCCATGGTGCTGAAAACTACATGCATGTCTGCCACTCACTCTGAGGTGCAAAAAGAAGCAACTTAGGAGTGGACAGTTGTATAAGTCATTGCCAGCCAATCAGATATGTATTGTGAAGTATTTGTGGCTGTCATAGAAGATGTGCTGGGGTTGACTGTTTATTTTCACACTGCCGTAGCATTGTCAAGGATGTCATTTTGTTTCTCACTTTAGGCATGTCTGGCAAGAGATGCTAGACAGGAAGTAAACATGGTGAAAAAGCAAATCTTTTTAGAGTCTTCTCTTAATTGTGACCTTAAAAGTTATGTAAGCATTTTTTATTGTCTTTTTTTTTTCTTGAGAGAAAAACATAAACACTGTCCTAAGTTTTAGTGGTTGCTACGTCCTTCTTTTGTGTACAGATATACATAAAAATAAAAATATACATACATAATACATAATCTAGTTACAATATTTATTGCACTTCATGTATAATTAATTCATGGTTTAATTTATGCTTAAATAGTCTAGAAAACTTTAAAAAGGTTACACCTGGGAATAGCACACAGTTTGATCCGCATATATACATATTTGAATGCATGAAGACCTGCATATTTATAACTAGAAATCCTTAGAGTCTAAAAAATAATGTCAGCATGCAGAGCTAACTAGGATTTCGGTTTGTTAACAATGTTCAGATGTGACTGCATTTTTCGTAGCACAAAGTTCTTAGTAGTCAGGATTTTAAAACTTATACTACTGAATTCAAATAAGCTCAGTGCTTTGGAATACATAAAACACTCAAAAATAGAATGTGCCAGCTCTGCAGAAACCTTCTGGCCTTTAAATAGGCCAAAATAGAATTTTGTAGGTATATTTTTATTTTTTTTTACTTTATTGGAACTTTTTGTTGTGAATATATTGGATTTAATGTTTAATACCAGTTTCAAGTTTCAATTTCACTTTCACTTTCATCTTTGCCAAAGTCAACATTCATATTCTAACATATTGAGTCCCATGAACATAGAAGTAGGAATGAATAAGAAATATTCAGAGAAATAAGCTATTTTCAGTATGATCAAAACTTGCTAGAGTGATTTGTTTCTGACAAATGGAAACCTGTTTGCAAACTATAATATATTCCTTCTGCCGTCCCTTTACCTTTAATAATTCACATTGGACTCAGTGCTTTTTAATTTCTTTTAGATACACTGCACCTTGCCTTACTTCATAAATCTCATTCTTGCTAGATCATCTCCTCTGTTCCTTCAGCCTCTGCCTCCAGCTATTGCTCTTTGTTTGCATAAGATTGATTGGAATGATCATGGGGAGTAATTTCAAGTCAGTGTTATAAATGTTGCCTAAGGTGTTTGCACGTCCCTCCCTTCGCTCTGTGGTCTTGTTTCCTAATTATAAATGCAGTCTTTACAGAGTCTGCAAACACTGGTCTTTGAACAAACTATTTTTAATTGGATACATTAGGGTAATTGGTACAGTTTACAAATGCATTCACAAACACACACACACTCTCACTCGCACACACACATTTATTTGGGGTAGATATATGAGAACACACCAAAGACTTCTATTGCTTTTAATAACTTCCAGGGGCAGGCGATAGGTGGGCGAGTATGGGCGATGCCCACCCAAAAGGGAGAATCTCGGAAATGAAAGTTTTAGTTTTAGATTGGCTTTCATTTTTGGCTTTTCACACTTTTCTTTAATTGATTATTGGCTAAGTGTCAAAAATAGAAGAGGCTTTGTTGAGAGTCTTTTCATGAGTGTAGGCAGTCCATAGGTTTGTTTTAAAACCTACCGATGTTCTGTAATTTGAATACCTATCTAGGTATAAATATTTATTTATTAATTTTCTTTAGCTGGCTTCTGTTTTGTTGTAGTATTGGGAAGTAGGATATAATAGATTAAAAATGAATGCATGGCTGCAGCTGATTTGTGTTAAACCACAAACTTTTCAACTGTAATGTATATTTTGTTATATATAATATAAAGTTATATTATTATTTCTAAAAGTTTTGATACACGCACGCACGCACGCACACGCACACACACACACACACACATATATAATAGGAGATTATAATTGATTATGTTGTTTGACCACTTCTATAGGGGAGTGTACTGCAGTAAAGCAAATACAATAAGATGTCTATCTCTCTGAGTGAAATCCAGGATTTAGAGGTTAGCTTTACTGTGTGTTTATCAGGAAGGTTCTGAGAGACAGCACAGGGAGATGGTGGCAATGAATGGTTTCCATGGCAACAGGAGCTGGTGCTTAAAGGATGCCTTGAAGAGTGGTGACATTACACTTCCTCTTCTGGAGAAAAACAGCAATTCTACCCAACTACATCTGGAGATAATCAAATGCAAATTCTCTTTTAGTTTACAGTCGCAAGCGCTGACTTTGAGTTCCATCTCTATCACAGTCAATATATGTACATTTTTGTTTCTAACAAACAGCTCCAATGTCTTTGCACAGTGCAATTATAGTAGTCGTAGGAAATGCCTTTGTTTTGACTGAATCTTAACAAATTGGAAAGATTTAATTACTTTGAATTCCTTGTTGTGTATTTGACAACAGGTGACTGATTGAACAAATGTAAATACAGAAATTCAAGTAGAAACATCTTAAAGGGATAGTTCACCCAAAAATGAAAATTCTGTCATCATTTACTCACCCTCATGTCGTTCCAAACCTGTATGATTTGCTTTCTTATGTTCAACACAAAAGAAGATATTTTGAAGATTGCTGGTAATCAAACAGTTGGTGGTTGCCATGGACTTCCATAGTAGGAAAAAAAAATACTATGGAGGTCAATGGCAACCACCAACTGTTTGATTACCAGCAATCTTCAGAATATCTT